CTGTGTTTCATCCTTCATGCGATTTTCAAATGGTGACCACAGTACTATTAGTCAACTAACATTTCTATGTGAATGGTGTGATTCTTCAAATCTACTAAGCAGTCTGATGGTGATTTTTGTCAAATAAATGATCATATTCAAGTCACAATGTTCATGCAGGAATAAAACTTTGTCAAGTTGGAAAGAGTTAGCGAGTAAATCTACTGTTATGATAAAAATCATCAAATGCGAGTATGGCGGAAGCATTCCATTTTTCTATGAGTACACGTCAGTCAAATCTCTTATGAGTCACTCGTACCTAGAGACAAAGTGATTTGCATGCACTCACGGTTTATTCATCGAGTAACTGATGAGATCATCGAACCAAACACAATATTTCAGAAATTACAACAAATAACAAATAAGCCCTTATAAATACATGCGGATTTAACTGTCAAATGTCAGCATTTTATGGAAAATCAAACACGATATGTTTCATTTCATTAAATGTGTATCATCATTATTAATAGGGGATCTACACTCTCATAAATAATTAACATATACTTTATATCAGTTACATCAGATGAAAGTGCCAATATATATTCATCCAATGTTGTATTTTTGTATGACATTCAGCGTTTCTGAATGCATTTCCAAAATTAAAAAATTATTTTACTTGATATGGTATACTTGTCCACTTTTATCGAGGGAATCAGGCTGCAAATAAAGAAAATTAACTTTCTTGTAAAAAGGGGTTGAACGAATATATGGCGAATATTCAATGAATATTGTACAACAAACTATGGAGTTTTAAAATGAAACTACAAAAACTGTATTTTCTCAAATGAATCCATATTTCCCATTTATGAAGCAGACTTAAACATGAAAACTGTTTGATGGGCTTGATCCCAAAAATTTATCCGACATATTTCATCGTCAAGCGTCAATGTGAAGCGAGACATTTACTGATATTCTGGTTTATACACATTGGGTCATGGGAGTTATTAAAAAGACAATTGCAACGAAGAAAATTTTCTTTTCGACGAAGTCATCATCTAGGCTGTACATTCGTGTATTTATATCAAATGGATGGGAAAGTTCCAAAATAATTTCCGGTTAAGGGTCAAATTAATAAAAATTACTGCTTAATGTCGAATTCAAAAGTGATATTGATGCAGAAATCCTTCGTAAACGCCTCTCCAAATGTCTGAGGAAAACATACTTCGCCGCGAGCCTATGACTGACGTTTTCTTGCAAGAAACTGTTCAGCCAGAACGTGAAAGACAAGCTGTCGCACTGGGCCACCTCAGCGTGCATATACCAGTTTACTTGCTCTTGTGGAGCTGAGTATATCGGCCGTACCATGCGTCGACTTGAAAAAAGCGCTCGTGAACACTACCCAGCCTGGCTAGTAAAAGGAGACTGAAAACGTGTATACAGTTCAATGACAGAACATCTGGTCAACTCAGGACATTCAGCGCCTTTCGAAAAATCCTTCAAAGTAATATACAAGATTTAATCAAACCTATCAAAGGGAGTCAAATCAAGACATTTGGGCATAGCTTAGGCGCTAGCTTTTCAAAAGATCAAACCCACGCTTTGTATCCAAAAGATATACGCCCGACCCCTGTTTCTGCCATGGCCATCATAAACAGGTTAATTTATTTTAGTAATGACGATCTCATCGCCTTTCTTATCTAAACTTCCTGTTTATTCATGTTATTTTAAGTTTTTCTTTATCCCTGTTTACACTACCATATTTTCATATTCACTCTCCCTGTTTATCTTGTCATTTTATTATTTCTACATATATAATGCCTGATTGCATAAACAATTATTCATCATATTAGTTTTTTATCCAATCATCCTGTCTATTTTGTTATTTCTACATTTCTAACCCCCGATTGCACAATGTCAATCTTCTTAGATATTATCCTACTTTGTTTGAGTTTTGTCCCTCCCCCTGTTTATTGTGGCATTCTAATTCCCAATTGTAATTTTTATTAATTTGATTCTTAACCCGAAATTATTCTGGAACTTCCCCATCCATTTGATACAAACACACGAATGTACAGCCTAGATAATGACTTCGTCGAAAAGAAAATTTTCTTCGCTGCAATTGTCTTTTTAATAAATCATATTCTGGTTTCTTTTTACTTTTCAAAGCCTTGCTGAAACGCAGAACAGAGATACTGTCGATCGACGTCTTGATCGTTTATGTGGTCGCGTTTTATATGGATAATTTTTAGCTGTCCTTCAGTAGCTGGCCACTCAGTTTACTCATTTTCTCGTTTTTCGCTGGAGATGATCATTATGGTTCCTGAAATTCTCTATTTTTAGTCTTCATTCATATGTCCAGTGAGGGAATAACATTTTTGATAATTGGTTCGAAAGAATCGTTTTACCTTTATCTGGTTTCCTTTTAGCGATTTCATGGCAGCCGAGTTCATGATTTGAGACAAAATATAAAGCAGAATATTCACTATACAGCTTGTTCATGTTTACGATTCCATGGGAATTTCGGCTACCGGAAGCATGGGCATAATGTTGTAAACAATCATTGTTGATGAGTTTTTAAATTACATTTAACTTTGAATTCGATTTTAGATGTTCCTGTTGATCGATTGAACCGATTTGCGTGGTCTCAGGTTTGCACTGAGTTCGAACCTCGGTGGGAACATGATCACTCACTGCGGAATGCAGGTGCATCCAGATGGCAAGCCCCAAATAGGACGAAATGCGCATACTGGATTCCACTGCTAGTCACCACCCACCAGTTAACTTCTTACATTTAACTGTGTTTTTTGTTTTAATTGTTACAGATTTATTTCACAACAAAAGAAAAAACTCAAGGGTGTCAAGTTGTCATGCCACTGGATGTGAACCATTCTACTTTAAGATGAAATGTCTGGCTTTTAAAGTCAGAATGTTTTAATATACTTCTCTCCAGGACAGACACAAAACTGCCATAGCTTCATCACAGTTGTAAAAAATCATACAATAGTGGAAATTTATCCTCCAGTGGCAGCTAAACTACAGGCCGAATTCCCTTTCATGGCAAACCGATTAGGCATAACCAACGTCTTCCTAATATTTCAATCGCAATAACCCCAATTAAAATCTTTGTTTTCACTTCATTAATATTCTGTACTAGTTCAACACCCAACCATGACGACTGCTGCAGATGAAATGTTTCTTACTCAGTGAGTTCAAAACACAAACGAACGCACATATTATATATGCGATTCATAAAAACATCAATGAAACACTTCAAAGTCATTCAAAAGAATGTTACCTCAGATTTCCCTTTCTCCTTGTTACCATCCTCCTTTTTTGGAGCAGGTAATGTCAACAAGTAAATTGCTGAGAATAAAAGAGTAATGAAAATCCAGAAAAAGAACGCTTGATTCATTGCAAAACAGAATATATGTGTATTACGTACACAACAGCGTACTGTGTTTCCAAGAAGGAATAAACCCTGAAAATAGGAAAAACTTTCAAAGCATTATTGTTCAGCTCAATCTTAAAGACTGATATAGGCTAAAAACTCAATTGATGTGCACATCACGAATGAGACCTTTGTATTTAAGCTGATTTCCGGAAAAAACGCCACTCAGTCCAATTGTTCCAATGGTAAATATTATTTATATTAATTGCATTCACACGTCTCAATAAGTGGTTATTCATATATCACGATAAATGAGGCCACATAGATGACGCGTTTTGTTTTTTAAATGAAAAAGTGAGCGTTTCCGAACAAGAATCAAATGACTGAATCTGACATTATGATCAAGATTGCACGGAAGAAACACTGTTTATCTAGCTAATGTTGCAAAGAGACAGTTCCTCTTTCGCACTGTAAATAAAAGATGCGTGCGTCGGTGGGACAGCGGTAATCTGGTCACCAACATCTCATGTGATCCGAGGTTCAGTCTTCGGGAGGTGCACTCCTAAACATCGCTAAGCCAGTATTAAGACTGGTGAAGAAGGAAGGTTAAGCATGGGGCTGACAAAAAGATCCCTTAAAAATAAAAACCACTGCTTCCAAAACTTCAAAGCTACAGCTAGAAGCCATTAAAAATACAAGATGCATGTTCACTTTACTTGAACAATCTGTAAACCATTGGTGAGATTAGTAACCTCTTGACACTCTTAGAAACACTTTGAAACAGAAAACTTATCACGCTTAAAACTTCACGTTTTTCTACTAATCTCAAATCTCTTCAGAGATGAAGTGCATATGTTGGTCCGTATGTCGTATCCAAAATCATTGCTGAGTATAATTACATATGCTTCTATAGTGCCTAAATTTGTTTGAAGAGACTTGACTAATATGAAAAAGCAACGTTACTCTGTGTGAAGACATAATGAGCTCAAGGGAAATATTATCCACTGATGGTAAACACCTGCACCCGATGAATCATTGAAATGAAAGCAATAGGTGTAAACAAGGGAGTTTGTGCATGTAAACAAAATTTCTGGGACCCTAGCTGTGATCTTGAATTTAATCATAACCCATCTCTAGTGTTTTCAAAGTATTAGTTTTCAATGCGACAACTGTCCTTGCGGTAATGTTCACAATGTGGAGTAAATGACTATGCGATAGTCAACTTAATTATTATCACTGTCTCACAACTATGCTCATTTAACTCCTTGCGTAGTCCGAATCATTCTATGAGTAACTACTATAATCTTTATTCTTAAAATGATCTATTTATTTTCTATTTTTTATTCTATTTGTATATCCACTCCTTATAACTTTGATAGTGAGTATTATTTCCATTCTGAGTAATTTCCGTTATAGTCTCACTTGTCAACTTTATTTATTTAATTCACTGTAATCATCTTCAGTGTTGTCTCATTATAATTCTCACTTCCTTGCCTAAAGCATTTGATGGCTACGAATCGTATTATTACTACAAACCTTTTTCTATAATTTCTAAATTCCATGAACTTTATCATGAAGTACATGGAAAAAAAGGTCACTCGTTGTTCAACTATTCATTTTATTCATAACTGATATACTACTGAATAGCTTGATAACAAAATTGTTGAGAAAACATTTTCTCTGAGTTACTTATTTTGATTTTTCTGGCGAGAAATCACCCAATGAAATAGATCACAGGTAAAAACATCGATTGAACTCACAAACATTGCACCGAAACAGAGACACAGTTCGCTCACAGCTTCCTAGAATTATTTGAAAACGAAAAGACAAAATATTTACTTAATTGAGGATATACGATCCATAAACACGACTATTGGTTTCTAAGGATTTTACTGAATTTAATGATGATCAAGAGCTGACTTCAGTTGGAGAACCACCTTAATCCGGAAAATGCTTTCATGATGTTTGTCTTACTTTAGGAATGTTTAGAGCCTAGCATGTATGACACTACCTGAAGTCGAATCCGGGGTAGTACCAATTAAGAAGTAATCAGATCTCTACTTCTCCTCGGTATTCAGTGGTTTTCTGAGTGATGTCAGTATCTGACTAATTTTGAAGCCCTTCAATCCCTGCAAACTGATGTCTGAAAATTACATAAAATAATCTACAAGTATTTTGTAAATCAAAACTAGATTATTCTATTTCTACAACGTCCGGTTTGACTGAATCATGATAAATTGCATAGAAAATCACTGATTCAGGCTGACTAAGTGCTCAAATTATTTTAACAAATTCACAGCGTCTTATGTTTAACCAGTTCAAATATGATGGTCAATCTACTGCTGATAATCGACGTCTTGCATGAGGCTAAATGATGAACTACCTCCAGTGGAATAACTTCACGATTAGCGCACACTTATCATTGAGTAACTGAGCCAATGCTCTGTGTCTTAAAGAGATTTCCAAAAACCAAGTCGCATGTCAAATTCTCAACTGTATTGCACACACTTATTTAATTTTCCTTACAGAGGACAGAATACTAATCACCACATAGCAATATAGCACAAAACGATTGTCAAACTGCAAAATTCGACGGTTCCATCAAACTAAACTGTTTCTCGTGACATTAGTGTGACCACAACGTCTCAATACATTTATATTCATCTGACATTAACAAAATGCTCATTCAAGCACATAATGAAAACAGTAAGAACTCACAGAGAATGGGACACGCAGAACGGAGAGAAGCATGGATACGAGTCCTATGAATGCAATGAGCACTGCGAGGAATACGACAGCCGTAAACGCTGTTAAATCTAAGCGATTTAGACTGACAGCGATTAACACGACTGCAGCAGATATTGCTAGAGCCACATTCAAAATTATAAAAATATTGAGAGCAATGAATCCATGAAAAACACAACAGTATGCGATGGATATGAGTAGGACCTGTAAAATCGATTGGAATGAAGTGAACGTAACTATCAGTAATAGGAATAAGATGAGCATCATTAATATACAAAACAATTATATATGTACCTTTTCTCTTATGTCATATGGATATGACCAGTGCAGAATCCACTACCAACCCATTTGCATTACATGTTTGAATGCGCACTGAGTGAGACTACAGGTGACACCACTTGCCAAGTTTGCTGAAGAAAGTTGCATGAGAACCAGTGAGTTGCACCACTGTGTGTGATGCAGATATTATCAAATGATTAGGGATTGATAGCTTACGGTCAGTGAAATGTGGTGGCAAAGGAGATGAGCTGATTAGACTAAATGTCAGTAAAACTTGTGAGCATTGTGGAATCGAACAAATAAAGGTATAATCATATTTCCATGGTTTATACAGAATAATAAGTTTTTGTTTTTGGTAATATTTCGAGCAAAATTACTGCCCGTATTCACACCACTGTTGGAATTATTTTGTTAATATTAGTTTTCAGAATACACACATTGTTCGAATCAATATTGTGGTTTTCGTCTCATGCATGCACAACTACAGATGAATTATTTTCGTATTGTTGTCAGCTTGTGTACATGTTGAATGACCTTAAGTTAAGCGTTTAGTTCATTCACTCTCGTTCTTAGCGATGGGGATGTTTCACCCCCATGTTTAGCCAGACACTCGGTACAAGATATCTGTTTGTACATTGGGCTATTTTTTTTATCATTTTTGTGGGATCTTTTAGTTGGTTTCTCTTATTTTAATTAGATTCATCGGTTAAAACGTTGTCCGAATCCCGATAATTTTGAAGTTTCTCGAAAGTGCGTCTGATGCCCCATTTTGTATGGTGATGTGATCGATTTTCACTATCCTCCTTCTAGTTATTCTGCGGTTTTACCCTCACTTTTCTCTTCTCTATATTATCTTGGATAAGTTCTTTTGGGTAGTTGTTGTCGAGTTACATTTTGAATAAGACGATGAATTTTCTTTTATGCTGTTCATCTGATGTTGTCATAAGTCAACATATTATGTGTGCAATAACTTGCATTAATCCTCGCTTTACCGTGAGTAGATGGGATGAGTGATAATCAAGGAATTTTCCAGAATGTTTAGTTTTTCCGCATAGCGTCGTTTGTATGCTGCCATCTGTTATTCTTTGTATTTCGCAGTCTAACAGACGCAGTTTCCAAATTTCATTCTCTATTTCTATAGTGAATTTTACTGAGTCCACATGACCGTTTTTGTGCGAAAAGAATTTCTGAACATCATTTTTTTTCATGTTAACTTACGTGTCGTCTGCATATCCTCATCAAAAATTTATTGGTGACTTGATTGGTTTAAGTGTATTCTCTTCCCAAATACCTACTAACATGTCAGCTGTAATTGGTGAGATGGGTGGTCCAATGGCTATTCCTTCATCCCGTTGGTATATCTTCCCTTCAAATGTAAAATATGTTGTTGTCAGACAGAATTCCACGCCTTGTATTATCTCTTCTACGGATAACTGTGTTCTTCCCTTAAGCCATTATCTTCTTTTTTCTCGTTTTCAGTGCATTCATGGCCAATTCAATAGTTATTTAAGTATAGGGACTGTTTACGTCAAAAGTGACTATTATTTCCTCTTCTTCTATCTTAGTGGATTTAAGTCGTCTCACTGATTCAAATGAATCTACTATTCTAACCTTTAAGTTGTCTTATGTTGGTCTTAATACTGTTGAGAGAAATCTTGTCAGCATATTGGTTGGTGCTATTCTAAAGTCTACAATCGGTCCTATTAGATATTCTTCTTCATGCAATTTTATCTTGCCATATATCCTAAGCATATCATATGGTTAAAGTATAATTTTAAAACATTTTGACTTACTAATTACTTCTTTCATCTGTCTAACTACCTTTGCTGTTTCTTTCAGTGTTTGTTTGTGATTGTTTCTAATGATTTCGTCATTAGGATATAGGGTCCAGATTGTAAATGTTCATTTATCTTCTCTGTAAATGCCGTTTTGTTGAGTATAACTGTTGTGTTTCCTTTGTCTGCTCGAGTAATGACAATGTATTTGTCGGCTTTTATGTCTTGAAGCGCTTTTATTTCTGTATTTGTTGCATTTAGTTGTTTTGCTTTTGGATTTTTAATGTTAATGCGCATGGTGCGCGTAGCAATTCTGCTTTTTGCTTGTCATGTCCTTCTTGTGCTCTTTCAATCACAGGTATAAAGTCTTCAGGTTTTAATCTTTTTTACTAATTTTGAAGTTCATCCCTTCCATCCGTATGCTTTTCTCTGCTTCTCTTAGCATTTCTGTCTGACATGTTTACAATCCAATTGGTTTTAGTTACTTGTATACCGTTCGTGCTTTTTGCGATGAGACTCTATCGTTCCTTCGATAAATGTGAAGAGAATAATAGCAGTAATTCCTCAATGTTGCTTTCTCCCTTAAGATATTACTGATTTATTTCACAGAACTCAGTGTGTAGATACAATGTTTGTTTTTAGTCATTCTGTCAAGTCCTTGTAGACCAACATGTGAAAGTTAATCTTCCAGATACTAACTAGTGACTGCATGATGGAGTCTTCATGTCATTTCCTAGTAGTCACACTATGTATGCTGATAAAAACGACAGTGTTTAAGCTTGTTAGGTTTGTTTATTGCGTGCAAATGAAGCAGTGGTAAACGTGCTTGTCTGATTTATTGAACGTCCACAGTGTGCATTATTGCAGAATATCAAATCAGGCTATCAAGTTTTCGTTAGCTTACATAGATCCAATAATAGATGTTTGTTTGCGATCTCAATAAGAGACATAAGCTTGTCGACAGCTGACAATGTTAAGATTCTTCTAATCGTTTCTCTTGTTCAGAGGATAAAGTAAAAGAAAACTTGTTAAATAATATCGGTAAAATGCTTTCCACTTTCAGTCTGAGTTCAAGGAAAATTTATTTTGACATGGATGACTGTCAACAGCTACTGATTTCTTTACATTGGTGAAACATTATTGAAGATAAAATTGTGACCTGTGAAATGTTGTGTACCATTGTCAGTCGTTTTCAGAGCCTGACTTCTAATTTCCAATTTCAGCAAAGCTTCCAACTGACGCAATATTCGTCGCTCATGTACAGATTTCAGATAAAGCTACATGTTTCGCACACATCTCAACTTTTTAAAGATAGGAGACAGTTAGTTGAGGCATCCGTTTCTTGATAACTTCCTCGATGATGTGAAAGCAACTTCTAAATAATGTTGTCATATGAGGATGACTATTTATCACATTGTTCTGCCTAATCATTTCATTCACAGTTACATATTGTATTATATCATTGTCATAACTACAAACCATACATGTAACAAGAGCTATCCTATACCTGAGTCTATGTGAGCAACCTCCCACAAATTTCAAAGGAAGCATTTGATATTGTACATCTATGATATATTTCTAAACCGTATAGTCACCTCATACATAAACAAGTTTAAGCGCATCTTTCCTAAGTGATACTTTATACATACAAAGTGTAAAACACAATAATTCCAAGTATTAATGGTGTCTGCATTCTACAACCAAAACAGAATACTTACGATTAGTCCATAAGCAATATGTGAATACCAAAAGTTTTCCTGAATTTTCTTGGCTGCAAAGGTGAAGACCAACAGAGCGGCAGCAAAAACGCTAAATGAAAAAAAATATTGTGGATATGATGCATAGACTTTCAATGTAAAAACTTCAGAATTTATCAAACAGAAGAATAATCACCAGCCTTGATATCCATAAGAAGAGACAATGACAAACTGAGACAATTGACTTACACAATTCCCAATGTGACGGCGATATTTTTATAGAAAAATTTTTGAAGAGCCTCTCTATGTGGGAATAAGCTTGGATGATTAATTTCAATCTTACATGGTGCCGATGATAATCATGACTGCCAACATGATGGCTATCAAATATGCCACATCAATTCCGACCTAATTGTAGATTTTTGTGTAGATAAATAGCCAGATTGTCCTTACCAATGTGATATACTCTTTGAATGTGTCTTCTCTTGGCTTCAAATTCAATCCCGTGAAAATCGTCTGAATCATTATTTTCGTGTGGAAAGTGCTTTCCTTGCTTTGCGTATTCTGTCTGAATAAAATCACAGAAGGCGTTTCCTGCAGTGGATGCTGAAGAGTAAAATGTGGTTAATGTGATAGTTTCCTCAATATCAAAGTTTTTGCATTGGTAACGTCTTGAAGTTAAACCTTGCTGTAATGTCGTTCACTTGAAAACTTCCGCAAATTAACTACGATGCTTTCATTGAGGTATATTCAGTGGACTATTTAACTTCTCTTCTACGTAGAACTTATCTGCAGTTCCATCACCGTGACGAAAAATGAAGTGAATACATTCCAGTGGCTAGGCTTCATCTCAATTGTCCTCAACTATCTAGCCATGCCAAGCAAACGCATTCACATTAAGATCAAAGAGTTCGATACACATAAAGTAAATGAATATTATTTGACCGAGATCAAGATTGAAACCTTTGGATTATTACAATGTACTCTTGATGATACGTTCATCTTAGCGGCACTTCAGATCAGAGTATAGAAAATGTATGGAAGAAAGTTTCACAACTGGCTGATTCAAGAAATTCAAGAAAATTCCACGGTGCATAAAAAAGAACTGTGTGTCTACGTTATCTAGACTATGTGTTTAATTAGTCGTTCTTACATAATCTTATGAGTGTTTTCAGTTCACTACAAATCGTGTCGTCAATAATTAGCGAATATGTTTAATGCAAATACTGGGAAAACTTACATATCACCAACTATGTAGTCAAAATTAACTCAGTCATGAGATTCAATTCTTTTTATAGTAAATTGTAGTCAGTTAGTCTTGATGTGTAATTTGAAACGTGTAGTGTACTTTGTTCAGGTGAATACTTCAAGCTTTTGAAAATGATTCATTTTAATAAGACGGAAGAATAAAAGAATTTAAATGGTACATTGGTCAATACAAGAAGTCGATTTCGAGGGTTTCAGCTTAAGATACTTCAAAGTTGAATTGCACAAAATATCTGTGATGATAATAATCTCAGCTATTCCGGAATGTTTTGATCTTACTGCATGCATAATTCACCAATGAATAGTGAATTGATGTAAATTGGCGTGCACTTTACTGTATGTTCAAATATAAGTAATATGTCTAATTTGTTGAAAAAAATTTACGCTTTACAAATGTCAATGATGAGAAGTTCTTAGGAATCCATTCGGGGGAGAAGGATAAAAATTTGTGTCAAGGAAAATAGTAGGCCTTCAGATATCTAAAGGAATTTAAACTTCTCAGAATTTCAGGGATAGTCTAAATTTCTTAAATGAGGGTTTCTGATACAACCATTCATCTGTATGGCTACGTCAACATACAGATCCATAACTGAGAGGTAATTCGAAACCTGCTAGGAAGATAATGGGAAATATGTGAATTGAACAAATGAGATCAAAGAAAGTGAGACAATTATGGAGTCAATAGATGTTTTCTTTTTCTCTTTTGTCAACAGCGTTCCTCCGAGGGAAAGGGTGTGATAATAATGTGATTAGTATCAATAAATTGTTCTCGAAACTTCATCATGTTAATTGATTGCTAATTAATATAACATCAGTGTGTGTTAAATAAAATGCACTGACCTAATACTGAATTACATTTGATCAACGTTTCGAATTCTGTACTTACAGAAATAATGTGCAATTTATGCAGATATACTGATTCAAATAACTTGAGTTTTTGAACGCTTTCTTAGCATACTGAGGAGTTAATGCAGAGGTATAATGCCCAAACTCCAGTCGGTGTTAAAATGTACAGACAGAAAGAATCAATATTCAGAAACCCCCGGTTAACTCAGTTGGAAGTCTATGCTCGTATGAAGGTCGTCTGAAGGTCCTGATTGATATTCATTATGAGATCTGAATCTACCTACAAATCTGTAAGGTTTAATAATCTACGAAAATGGGTCTGAAGAGTGACTAGGTGGGATGAGAAATAAAGCGACACACTTCATGGGCATTTGGACAGCTTTTCACTTCACTGACTGATCAAACACAAATTTCGAAGCGTTTACTTTTCATTTTTCTTCCTTGAATTCCTCTGTTGAGCTAATAATCACATCCTCCCAAATACTCTACACAACGTGCAATCAAAGCAATTGAAGTTTCTTAAATTTTCGCAGGACTTTATTGATGCATACACTGTCTGTGCAGTGTTATCAGAACGAAGCATCTTCTAAAGATTTTGTGACTACTTACTTTCGTCGTCTGTGATGGTACAAAAGTGACTATGGTTAGTTTAATTACATCAACTGCTATTCAATAAATCATACCGTCAAAATTCTTCAGAGATATATGCATACAGGTATTTATGTGTCTGCTAATGATTCTTATTGGTCAGTCGATAGCTGTATTTACAAGTACATTCGTTATATTAACACAATCCATATGCGAAATTTGAACACAAGACTGAGAGTAATGCAAACGTTTTAGAAATAGAGACTTTGGTAGGTTATAATGACTGTTGGAAAAATGATTATTCGAATGCTGCTTTATGCAAAACTGAGAACAGAAGATTGTTCTCCTTTTCATACTATTGTGAGTTGCGATCAAATAAGGTAGTTTTTATACCTCAAGGAGTGGAAAAGTCAAGATTATTGTCTGCAGCAGACCTCATTTCTGAACGTAAAATCATTCTGGAGTTAAAAGTTATAACTTCTGGAGGAGCGGACCGAGTTTCTTTTCTGTTACCTATCTCTCCTTCGAGCAGTAGTTTGCTTACAATGGACTGCTCTGATGTTTAAAATATTCTTCTTTGCTTCACTTATTTTACATACTTCATTTTTACCTAATATTAATACCCCTATCCCTACTAGTCTATTTTAATTCTTCTTCTATTTTATATTTCTTTTATACATGAACGTACTCTTGCTGCTTAAATTGTCCTACCCTACAGTATTCTAGTTCTAACTCTTATCTCTTCACTCTACCTTCAACCGAAACTACATTCTCGACTGAATAAACTAATGTACTACCTGTTTCTTCGTTTATCAAGTTTACAGTTAATACCAGAAAGCTTTAGTGACAAAAAGAAGCAAGCGCTACGAAATCGAGGGTTTTATACAAGCTTGTTCAAAGATAATGGTAATCGGATGTTTCACTAAATTTCTTTTTAAATAGCTATGTTCTACTTTGCGTGTGTGTGTGCTTGTTAGGCATTCATCTGATTTACATATGACTTGTCATATGAAACATGATCACACTGATCTGACTTCGGCATCCACGCGAGTGACAGTTACCACTTAATAATCTTCCATCGTTAGTAAGATTTCCCTTTCATCTCCTTTTACGGACTTCGATAGATATAATTTCAATGACACTTGATATTTTGAGCAATCGGCAGGAAGGAGTTGATCTGAGTTTCACTACTGCTGAAGCTTCTTAGTCTGATTCATGAAGATGCGAGTGATTCTGATTATGTCCAAAGTTGTGCATTTCAATTACTCGAATTCATTATTTATTACAGGCAATATTAGTGGACAGGTTTCTATTTGAATTTATTTCTCTTAAAGATTTACCTAAACCGTGTAACCTATTTTGATTAACGCATCATTATCACATAAGGTTCAGATTTGGGAATATTCACCTAGTTGTCCCATGAATAGGTTTCAAGTGCGTGTGAAACTAAATAAGTTAAGCTTTCGTCATATAGTGAATACTTTGATATATTTCCATGCTTTTACGTGGTATATAGAGACATAAATTTATATAAATGTGAGAATGCTACTAGGAAAATTTTTCAGGATTCAAATTCATCTGAGATACGTTTATTTATTTTAACTAATGGTGATGGCTGTTATATGTGCAATATCATATGTCCTGTCCTGTTGATTCTACCGAACTATTATCGTTATCGTTTGCTCACATTATAGTGGAGAACGCAGTGTATTATTTGAAGTCAAAATTGCAGGTTGTGTCTTCCGTCAGCGACTCCTAAATTATCAGTTACTCTTTATCATAGACAGAATATTACACCCCAGGGAAGATCTATTCTCTAAGCAGTTGGATACTGCCATAATGAGAACATCCATGCTAACGAAAATTTCATTCGTACACAATAAATGAATCAAAGGCAATAACTTGTTGCTCCTTACGATCAGATCTTTGTTGCCGTTACGGTAATAACAGAATTAAATGGACAACATAGAAACGCCCACTTTGATTCCTCTTGAAACTGTTAACAATTGCACAGATCTGACAAAAGATATTACAGGATAAATTGAATACTGAAGGCAAATTTTCTAGATAAAGGCGTACCTTTATATATTCTGCAACAATCAGTTAAGAGCTCAAATATGAACCATTAAGCTAAAAAAATGCATATAATACAGACAGTTTTAAGAAATATCAATATATAGCTGATATGTGATCTGACGTTCGAAATGCACTGGCAACTTCTGCTTCTTGTGCACTCAGCACAGCAACAAGCAACACACTTTCTCACTCTCACTCACGATCGCAAATTCTACATAGTGAAATTATAATGAAATCAGTCGTTGAACGAGAGTGTGTGACCAGCATATACTTGAAGACGGAAGTTGATAAAGATTCCGCGACATTGGTTCTCATTGTCCTTCATAGTGTCTACTTGTACTTCTCCCCTTAATGCTGCATGCAATCAATTCTCCAGTAAATGTTTGGTTGATTTGTTGAATGAATGAATGAATGAATGAGCGAATGAGTGTTTCAGTGTAAGAGTGAATGTATGAATTAAATAATTTGTGTGAGTGGGTTGCTGAGCGATTGTCGGAGACAGTGGTTGAGTGATTTTGTGATTGGATGAATCAATGAATGGTTGGATTGATCAATAAATTTGTGAATTTAAGCGCAGTAGGCATCATGTGTGTATGTATGTATGTATGAGACGCAATTACGTCGAGATAATGGATGTCTGGAATTTCATTATTCGGTTATAATTCAAATCTTTGGTCACGGTGACTTAATAATAATAATAATTTTTGCTTTATTCCAAAAACAGTATTATTGATACAGCAAGGAATTTTCAGC